ACGCTGATCCGTTTCTTCATAGGCCTGATGTAGTATGTAGCCTTTGGAATCCTTTGGACATCCGTGAGTCTTAGCACCAACTCCCACGCAAAACAGTGGATTAATAGATTAAGTCATGCGTGCGGGCTGAGAGCATGGAAGCGTTGCGAAGTTGCGCTCAATCTTCCAGTGCTAGCACTGCCCTGCAGGCTGTGCGGGCGCCACGTTCGTGACCAACCAGTTCTGGTGCTCGCTGATGTTTGCCCCCAACGTTGCTCGGTAGGGTCCAAAAGCATCGATGCGGAGACAATGCACATAACCCATGTTTGTATGTATGGCTAGATACTACTTAGGCAGGGTTTTTCTACACCATGGCTTCCTTTGCATTTTGTTAATCTCAGCCATGGTGTCGATGATCAGAGTCTCTGATGGTCTGCCTCCCCGTGGTGGACATGGGCTGGCTGGTGCCGGTGCCGAAGGCTTAAGGTGATGTTTGTGGAACCAGCTGCCCGTGAGCTAGGCAGGCTGGGTTTACTGTTCAGGTGGCGCAAATTGGTCGTTGAGCTTATTTACTTTTGTCTTGGTGCAACTTGTTGCTGGAGTAGCGTTGCTGGTGCTCTATCAGACATGCGGGGCATGGATGTCGCACCAACACAAGCCGCTCCAAGTGATGATGTGCCTACATGTTCCTATCGCAGTTTGCGATTTGCTTGGGCTGCCGGAGTTGTGGGATGCTCTAGGCGCCCGATGTCCAGAACATTGAGGTTCAGATGCGCACAGGATTTCAATGTCTGTGCACGGCTCGTTGGACTGGGACTTTCCATATTGTTTCTTCCAACACGGGTTGTCAGTCCGGGTGAGGGGGAAGACAGTTTGCTGGAGTCTGGTGATGTTGTGGGTGCATCTCGGCTCCCCGGCTTATTCGCGGGAGTGCCGCCTATGCGGGGTGGAGGTGCAAAATCCGAGGCTGTTTTGCAAGGCCTTTCGGATCTCATGGCAAAGCTTGAGAGTATGGATTTTTGTGGAGAAGAAGGCGATGGCGATGATGCCATTCTTCATGAATTGCAGGGCTTGATCAGGCGCCGGCCCAAGAACATACTGCAGGAATTGAAGAGCTTCGTGCGTCGGTTTTCACAGGATGCTGCTCCGAAGCCACAGTCACAGAAGCCTAAGTCAGGTGATGCTGGCCACGTTGCCCTTGACGTTCGCAAGGTCAGCATGCAAGCAGAGTCTCACTCGCAGGAATGGGAGGATACGGGCGATTGGCAGAAGGTCTCCCGTGGCCGTAGGAAAGTGAAAGCTCAGCCACATGTCCAGGCAGCACCCTGGCATATCCGCAAAGAGGATTGGCATGCTGGTGAGGGTTTCTCTTTTGCGTGTGCCACTGACAGTGGGGATGTAGCTACGCAACTTGATGAATCTGACGGTGTTGCATGGTTGTTCCACACCACTGACTGTCAGGAGGCTGTTACAGTAGCAGAGATGATTGAAGGTGCCATTGCTGATGAGGGACGACATTGCTTGACACTCCTCTTCGAGGGCCTTAGTCAGGGCTTGGGTGCATGGGCGGGGCAAGTCAGCCAGGTCCCTGTGGCAGCGCCTTTGCTGCCACTGCCGGGCACGTCAGCAGCCCCGACCCTATCGATTCAATTTGGACTGACTCGGCCCTCTCTTTCTCTGATTTCGGTTCCTTGCCTGTGCTGTCTGATCATAGCGGCGCGTTCGTCCGCCTGCGTTCCTGTCGGCCTACTCACAAGTGTCGTATGCTCCTCCCTGGTCCAGGGCTTCCCCCGACCTCGCTGATACTTCGTGGCTTCAGGTCGCCGTGTCGCGTGATGAGTGGCAGCAGGCCCTCAACATCGCCAAGGCTGAGAGCGTTTCCTGGCTTCTTGTGGTCTCATCAGCCCGTGTGTGCCCGGTCGTGTGTCTCGTGGGGGACTCCGTCGGTCGTGACGGGTCAATGCAAAGTTGGCCAGGGCCAGCTTATCGCTGAGAGGTGCCTGCCCACGTCACCTGCAGCCAGTTTGGGTGGTCCCACGTGGTTTCTGCAGATGCTTGGGGTCAATGCCGGCTTGAGGTGCAGCGACTTTTGTCAGATGAGCTAGGTAAAGGGTTCGATAAGGCTATTTCTGCTTGGCGTGCTCTGGTTGCTACTTATGAAGGGGCTGTCAAGTGGGTTAAATGTGAGGCTCCTAAAGGGTTCCTCCTCGAAGATATGCAAGGCCAAATTGTTGCGGGTCGTGCCGCTGGTGCTCGTGCGTCGGCTGAGGCCTGGCAACCCCTGTTTTGTGGCGAGGAGGGCTACGAGCCCCAGTCCCAAATGCTTCTGGATGCGTACACGGAATTTTACCCTTCTTGCCCGTCCTTTGCCCTTTCGCCCCTGGTTTTGCGCACTTTGTATCACTTGCAGGCCTACACTAGGGCGTTCAAAGACCCACCCGTTGAAGACCCAGTACTGGGCTAGGACGGCGGCTGCTGAACGCCAGTTGAGGCGGGCCGGCTGCAATCCTTCGCGGTGTATTACGGTTTTGGGTTGCTCGTTGGGCTCCGTCCCGCGCGGTTTGACTGCCAAGGAGCTGAAACGTCAAGATGCCGGTGCTCGCTTGGCCTACAAGATTGGTGTTTTGCCCGTGGGCTGTCACTTGAAGCAACGCCTCTCTGCTACCCTTCTCGCTGCCAAGGCCGCGTGGGGCCCCGCTATCTGTGGCCCTGTTCCCACGAACGAGGAAGGGTTGTATCGCAATTGTGTCCTTGCGGTTAGGGCCCCGCGGTTTGTTAAGGGTCGTGCATCCTTGAACCTCCGTAAGGTGTTTTTGGTGGGTCATACTTCGGATTTGAAATTTTTGGCGGGATGTCGTTTGTTATCGGCTGTCAGCAGGTGGTTCTGGCACGGGCATGCCGAGTTCTCACGAGGTTGGTCTGATCATTTCAAGGCCGTCCTTGCCAATTGCCTTGGCCCAAGTGACTGGCAGCCCTCGGACTCAGGGGCTCGGCACGGCTCGGCTTGTTATTCCGGATCTTCGTGGCCTTGTTTTTCGTTTTGGTCAGGCCGGCTCCGCAACGAGCCTTTCATGAGTTACGGGAAGCTTGGCGTATGGCACAGTTGCGACACTGGCTTGCTTCGGACCGTCGGGATGCTGCTTTTGCGCGCAGTATGCGTTGGCCCCTCGCTTCAGCGGGCACGGGCGGCAACTCAGTAGGTTGATGGGTTTGCTCTTGCTTTCATGACTGGCAATATGGCCTCTGCGGCAATCGATTTCAATGCGGGTCCTCGGCGCCCTCCGGTCCAGCGAGTCCAGCGTTGCCCTGACTGCGGTCGTCCTTGTGTGCCCTCAGTCCACCACGTGCTTTGGCAGTGCTCCGCGTATGCTGACCTCAGGGTTTTTATGCAGGCCCCTCCGCGGCATGCGGTGGTTAGGCGTCTTGGTTGGGGTGACCTTAGGCAGTCTTTACGGGATACGGTGTTATTCATGAGGGTGAGCTCTCATGGAAAGGCCGGCGCCAGCAACGGCTGGATGGCAGGTCCGAGGGGCCCCTTGTCGGGCGTTGAGGAGCGGATGTGCTTGGTTGTTAACCCTGTGTAAGGTTGCAACCTCTCAGCACCCTCTCTAGTGCGGCTCCCAAAACAGCAGGGTCGACAAGTTCTTGTCTGAGGCCGCTGAACCTACGCACTGGATTTGCAGGGTCCAGCTTTGTGCTATTTGTGAAAAGAAGGGAATTGCTATAATCTTTTGGTATAGATGCCCAAAGGAAACTGCCTGGAAGCGTTGCACTTTGGCTGCAGGATGGAAAGAAGGCCTTCCTATGGTTGCTGCGGGCGCCAAACCTGTAGTCCTCATCTTGCAGGATGACCACCATACTTTCTTCAAGCCCCCTGCCAAAGGCAAGGTCCCCGAAAGTTGGCTTAAACGAACCGACATTCCCGACCTGAAAGGAAGTGGACGAGATGCTTGCGGTCCCTCCTTACGCAGCAAAACGGCAATTTCTGAGATACCCTCGTTGCACTCTTGGAATTCTGCTGCGCATGAGAGGACCAGTGAAGCTACACTGTCTCTGCATTGCCTGCAGGTCCCAGCGCGCAGCCTTGGTCCTCAGTCAACCCCCACCAGCCCCCGCGCCGCCTACGTTGAGCAACACAACGCTTTTCAGAGTGTGATGTTAGTTCAGAGAAAGGGGGCTCTTGCAGCATAGACGTGCCTGGAAGGCCCAAAAACAAAAAATGCGACCTTCTCAAAGCGCCGCCGGCGCAATTAAGGGAAGCAAAAAGCTCGGCCTGTGCTGTGCCTAGTTTTAAACTGCGGTGCGATCCCACTGGAAGTGATATGATTGCTGAGATGACGGGTTTGCTGGGCATGCCTGAGAGGCCTGAACAGAAAAAATGCGACCTTCTCAAAACGCTTCCGGGGCAGTTTCAGGAAGCAAGCAGCACGGATTTGGCTATTTCGGGCTCGGTTACCCCATCTCTTCAAACGTTCGTTGCCTGCTCCTGATTCCAGTTGGGAGGGTGCCCCCAACAAGCGTAGGCGGATGGTAGGCAAACAAGCAAACAAGTTTATAGGGCAAGCATCCCGGTGTGGTGTCAACACTAGGCATGCTGAGGAGGTTGAAGATGCTCTGGAGTCGGTCTCGGTCGCCTGCGTTTCCCACTCCTCTTAGGCCAACGGGAACACGCCTCCGCCGGGGCCCCAGTCAGCGCCACAGGTTGGGCCCACAGGAGATCGTAAACCTTGGTGGCTTTGCACCTGACACCTGCAAGATTGTTGTTTTTAAGCATCCTTACATTGGATCTCACCATGCAGCACGCAAATTGCATCTTCACAAGGTGCATGGGGTACCATGGAACGCTATTCCTAAACCTCCCATGAGACGTGGGCCCGGCTGTGCAGCAAGTACAACACCTGTGGGTGGAAGGAGGCCCACAAAGTTTCCCCCACCACTACTGCTGGGAACAGGTACAAGTGCTCTTCGTGTGACGCTGAGCTACTTAGGAAGCAGCTCATCTACGCTTGTCCGGGTAGCCCCACTAAAGGCGAGATCGCCCCTCTTTCGGTCAGGAAAAGGCTTTGGCACGCCTGGACTAAGACTGCGCGTGCTGCCTCGGCAAAAGCACGCAGTGATGCTAAGAAAGAAGGGAAAACGTGCCAAGCTCCAGGCAAACAACGCCTTCAGAGGTCTTAGCACTGCCCCTGCTGTGGCTGCCCAGCCCGCGTTCAGACTTGGCCTGCCTGTCGGCCGGCTACTGCCGCTACCAGCACGTGGTGGGCCTGTAAA